TCCCTCTCACACTTTCCTTCCTCCCCACCCGCCCCTCACACACCTTCCTTCCTCCCCACTTAAAAGCTGAAGTCCTTCTCGTCTCTCCGTCTTTGCCGGAGCAGGTTAAATAGCAGATTTGGTGTGTCGGGAGTGAAAGGCGGTGGGAGGAAGGACAGCAGTGGAGTCCGACCGCCTTCCTTTGGCTTCATTGAGCACCTGCGCTCACGCTCCGCTGAGGAGCGAGGAGGCCTCACTCGCTGTCCCGGTGTTTTCTGCTCGAGAAATTTCCTGGTCAGCTCTGGCAGACCACCATAAGGTGGCTTTTCCCCTACTCAAAACCTAAAATGATAAGCCAAGAAAATCCTAGAATAGCTAGGGTTGAAAAGAGCTCTAAAATCACCAAGTCCAACCAGGAACCTGGTCAATAAAGACTGCTGTGCACAAACTTTGTTTTGCAAACCTCACCGAATCATGACTAAACTCCTTCATTTACTCCAATAACTAGAACAGGGTTTTTAACATCAGGTTCTGAGTCTCCACAGCACTGAGCACAATGAAATTGATAAAAGGCCCACACTGCCTTTATTAAATATTGTGACTCTGCTTTGTTTTAATTATCTACACGCTTGTGTAACTTTTAAATAATGCTTCAACTTTTAATTTTTCCATCATACAAACCCTGCCTAATTATTCTGCTTCAGGCAGAATTTTAAAAATATTACCCGTACTGTAGCTGATTAATTATCTTTTAACCAGAATATTTTAGTACTCTCTGATAGATAGTCCTACCAGTATTTTGTATTTCAGAGTATTCAGTATTTTGTATGTCAGCATCCTGGAAGTTATAGATAGATATAGATGATATAGATACAGATATAGATAGATAAGATATAGATAGATATAGATGATAGATGATATAGATATAGATATAGATATAGATGATATAGCTATAGATATAGATATAGGTCTCTCCTTTGCATGGCTGATCTGGAAGAGGATCTGATTTTCAGAGAATGAGTGTTTGAGCATTTTTAAAGTGTAGATGACTTTTTTCTAGTACTGCTTGACACAGTCCTGTGACAATAAAGGTAACTGGGATCCATCATCCTGGGGGATAGAGATAAGTGGTACATTTGATTTTCACACATCTTTAGGAGACATTTCAGGTGCTCAAGCACATGCCTGTTGCCAGTTTCCATTCTGGAATATTGTACATGCCTGGAATATGCGATGTTTGTCCTATAGATCCCGTGCTGTGCCTGAAATAAATTCCTCTGCAGATGCCTAAGCTACCTCAGGGCATGGAAATGGCCCAAATCACCCAGGGAACTCCCAACCCCAGTGTCTGTTTTAATTTAGGCAGTGCACCCAGATGGAGGTTTGTCATGTATTATTCTGAATATATGAAAATAAAATAAAATAACCATGGATCACATTGGGTAGGCAGGACATGACTCCAAAGAGCTCTGCTGGAATATCCACATATGTTCTGTTGCATGATGCTTTATTTGTCCCAGAAGAATTAAGATGACAGATGATAGCTGAGGTTTGAACTTGTGCATCAGGAAGGCCACTTTGAATATAAAGGGGGCAGTGTGCGTTTTGTGAAACTAGCGATGCAAAGAGGATGCAGCGGAGGAACGGCCGGCAGTGTCATTGGAACGATGACATTTCTGTGGAAACGAGGCAGTTGTTTATGGTGCTGTGTGCAGTTCTTGAAGCCAGCCCAGAAACAGGGCAGGGGTTTAAGGGGAGGCAGGCGGAGGTGCCTGCGGAGCTCCAGCGCTGCTGCTCCCGGAGCCCTGGGGCAGCGGGGCTGCGACCTCAGGGACACCTCACTGGGACTGTCTGATGTGTGTGAGTCCGTGTGTGTCTGTGTAACATCGGGAAGGCCTTACCACCCGAGTTAAGACTTAGCTGCTGAAGGAAAAAGAGGAATTTTGGCCGGTACCCACTGTAAATAGTTTTTTGTTTCTGCAGGCGAACCGGAGAGAGAGGTGGAGTCTAAAGAAGTAGCGTTCCATCACTTTCAACTTGGTGACTGAAGTTCTTTAGGTGACACATCTTAAAAAGCATTTTTTTATGGAGGCTCTTTAAAACTAACAGATATTTTTTGAAAAGAAAGGGTTTAGCGTTAAACTCTGAAAGCTGATCCTCTTTTGTTAAAGGCATTGATGAAAAGGATCTTCTCCAATACAGAAAGGAAGTGCAGACTCTGATGGCATAGTTTTCCCTCTTCAGAATCCCTCTTATTTATTTGTCTATTTGTCTATTTGTTTATTTGTCTATTTGTTAGTTTATTTTCTTATTTACATATTAATTTACTTGCTTATTTTTACGGTTCTCTCTGTAGGAGAGAAGAGAGTTGTCCCTGGAAAGCGGTGTAAGGATGAGTGGCCGCTGGGAATCTCCCCCTTTTCCCGGTGCGATCCGTTTTGTTGCTGAGTGCCCTCTGGAGGTTTTGGACCCGCAGCGACCCGGGCTATCGAGGCTGTGTCTGAGCTTTTCAGGACTCCTTGCTTCAAAGGTTCTCCCTCTCTTTTTTTTTTTCTCCTTTGGAGAGATATTCTAGTCGATCTAAACGAGCAGAACACAGTTAAATTAGCTTTTAGTTTAAGTCAGAATTACGGCATATGAGATACTCAGAAAAGGTAAAAAATAATTCAAAAATTCATTCAAATTGCTAGACAGCCAATCTGAATCTGTTTCATATTTAGGAGCTTTAATTAGCTTTATCAATGTATCAATCACTGTGCTTCCTTTGGAACTTTTGGGTGCTCATTTTTGGTTTTCTTGTAATCTCTAAATTCTCCACTTTTGTCTACACTTATTCCCCTAAGTGTATCAGTTAAAATAAATACCTGCAGTTGCCCTGACCACCGTGCTGTCATCATTCAAGATATGTATTAAAAATTCTGACTTGAAGAAGCAAAATTTAATATTGCATTATTATAATCACTAATAATATTGGGTTCTGACATGGAGTTTTACATCTGAAAAGCATTTTTAAATTATTTTTTTATTTTTTTTTAGACTCCTGATATGCTTATTTTGCTGCTCGTGTAACAGGTGTTTTTCTTAACCATTTTTAAGGAGAAATCCTAAGTTTAGAGGAAATGAGCATTCAATTATTTAAATTTCCTGAGATTAGAGGAAGAACACTTTGCCAAACAATGCCTCTTCACTTCAAAACCTCTCCCCATAAATTATGTTAGGGGATCTTATTAAAAGTCTTTAAAAATTTCCTATTAAAAATGGTTGATTGCAGTCCAGACCATCACAGCTTTTGTGCTTTCAGTGAAATACCACAGCTGTCGCAAAGAAATATATTGTGAGACAAAAGGTTTTGTTTCCTTAGTCATAAATTATTTTTGTGATATCTGAAGTAAGATAAAACTTTCACTTATGTTTGAGTGAAGGAAGATTCCAGTGATAACTTGTTCAAAAATCTATAAAAAGAATATAAGAATGTAGATCTAGATAGCAAATTAGAATCAGACTTCCTTTTTGTTTAAGGAAAGCAATTATTTCTGAAGTCAGTGAAGATTATAACCAGGGATAATAGCATAACTTTGCAAAGCACTGTGCCTTTATCTCAGTAGAACCTGAAGTTTAAGCTTTCAAGTCTGACCTTTGAGAACTCTACAACAGAAACCTTTAGTGTTGGGCAGTTTTTAAACCAAAGTTAAACAGTCAGTAGTCTGTTTACTAATTGTACTATATTATATTATGCTATAACTATAATACATTACATTACATTACAATAAAATAAAAAATAGACCTCTTCTGATAGTTAAAATTTGTTGTGACCATATTTGTTTTTCTGTTAGCAGATAAGTTTTTTTTGCTGTGGGATTCTGCAGCCCTTTAGAGGAGGGAGGGCTGTACCTGCACTGAACAGGCTGTGAAGTTTTTGCTGTCAGGACTGAATTTTGTGTTCACCCAGTCAAGGAGTAGAAGCATATTCCAGGTATGACCTGTGAAAGTAATGAAAATATGAAATTGCAGCACATAAACTAAAAATTATTTGTCAAAATCTTTTGCCAAGTAATTTTGAATGAAAGATATATTAGGACATTCACAATTTGCTCATCCATAGTTGTTTTATGGATAAAGGTCAAATTTCTCAGCCTCCTCCCTGCTTGTTATAGAGATTATGGAATAAAGAAAAATAGTACAGGTGCTAGAACTCAGAATTTAAGACATTTTAGGTTACAGATGGGAAAAATCAATGTGCTTTTTCTAGTTATCAATAACATTAATAAATAAGCCAGTTCACTTTACCCAGTGCCATCTCAAGAGTTTACTGGAATTTGTTTATTTGTATATTTAAATCAGGAGTGTACAAAACAAAAATGAAAGGTGTCCTTTGCTTCTGTTGTGGGTCAAACTTAGACTGAAAGAACTGTGAAGATGAACATAAATCAAAATAATCAGCACTTGGGAATTATTTCCATTGTAAGGATGAAGGCATATTTTCCATATCCCATATACCTGGGGCAAAGTGGGGTCAGGTATCTGTGGAATCAGTTGATGCACACCAGTGTGGATGGGATGCCTGGAGCACACAATTCCATACTTCTCCAGCCCTTGCCAAAGGATGTGTGGGGCATGTGGGGGTCAGGGGGGAGCACCTAAAACCTCTGTACCCTTGTAGGGTCCAGCTCTGTGTTCTCACTCACGCTGAATGGCCTTTTACAAGTAATCCCGCTGATGTCAGTGAGACTTTTCTGTAATAAAACGCTGTCTGACAAGAATATGGATATCAGAATCTGGCCCTGCTTGTACTAATTCCATTTTAATGAATACTTAAATGGAATTGTTATTAAAAAAGTCTATTTCCTAATATTCAATAAATCAAAACGATAAAATCAGCTTGCCAGTTGTTGCCACTCCAGTCAAAGCCATTTTCTCTCATATTGAAAATAATAGTGCATACTGTCTCCTATTCAGGAGGGATTAATTGTAATACTTTTATCTGCTTCATAAGATTTATTTCTAATAATGAAGAGCAGAGAAAAGTAGGGGAGCTTTAAACTTTTACTGTTTTTATTAAAGCACCATATATTCATGAGATGTTCCACAAACGTGGAATTTGCTTAACAGAAGCTTTTTTCATGTTTCATAAATGAGCAACTTCAAACCAGAGTTTTAAAAAAGCGTTGTTCATTTCTCTGATCATATCCACTTAATTTTATAAGAAGAAGCCTTGGGAACTATATAATAATGCAGAGATAACATTAAAACCTGCTGAGATTTTGTAGACTTGTCATCTGATGAGGATTATTGGAGCAGTGTTGTGGTGTGCTGCTGGGGAAGCTACCTGAGATCAGGCTCCAGTGAAGCGAGAAAGTTGGGTCTCCATAGGGTAAATGTTTTGGGTTTGAGGTGGTTTCTCCCTACACATGGAAGAGGACTGATCTGCTGAGCTTCCACGGTGACAGTCACACTGAGGAGCAGGAAGTATGCTTATGATGCTCTTTGACTTCAGTGCACGCTGACCAAATATAAACAAAAAGCAATGAAAGGAGGGCAAAAAAGAAACAGAATTCACTTAAGCCAACGATAAGCTGTTGTACTGAAAGCCTGGCAGAAAAATTCTAGCAGAGTATTATCCAAATGCTATCCAAATGTTTCACAGGGGTGGGGAGTATTCAGTTCCCTCAAGATGTTCTTCTAGACAACAGGCCAGTTTTCTGATTTTATCCCTTTCCATGTGCCAGGTTTCCAGAGTCTCTAGCTTTGATGCAGTCCTGTAGACACCCTGATGTGGGGCTGAGGATGCCAGCTTCTCCACTGCTCTGCAGCAGCCTACCAAGTTGTTTTTATAAATTACACATTTTCTCCAACCATAAATATTGTTCCTAAAAGGGATACTGAAATGAAGATAATATGACTTTTCAGTAATAGGTCTTCTAATGTCAGCCATTCTGTTTAAACTGTTCAATTTTCAACAGAATTAAAGATCTATGCAGTATATTCTACCTCCTGCAGACTGCAGTTGTTAAAAGAAAATAAATCACTTAAACAGGGTCATGAGCAACAAAGGCCAATTTGGGTTCAAAGTTTACAGGTCTCTGCATTTATCAGGTAGAAATATGCTACATTTCACTATTTCATAAAATATCCTTTTATGAAAAAGCCATCAATCTTTGCATGGCCTACTAAAACTGATTTCTCAAATGAAAGAAATGAATGATGACACCAAATCAAAAAATCGTTTATGAGTTTATATTTTTGCAAGACCACCATGACTTTCACATACGTTTTCAATTTTGGTAAGGATGTGATTATCATGTGGATATGTTTTACTCCCACCATTTGTACTAAGGGATCTGTCAGAACTGTGTACCCTTCCTTGAGCAGTTCAGGATTCACTCAGATTTTTTCATTAATCTATAGTGGTTTTTTATCCAGTGATCATTATCGTTTCTGTACATTATCTACAGGTTTTATGGCTTATATATAGATATATATAAAATCACATCTATCATGTGCAAGTTCACATTTAAACTAAGACTGCATTTAAATGACTTTGTTATTTCTCAGAGGTTTTAAACATTTCTATGGGGTGATTCCTGTCTCACACTCTACAAAACATCATCTTAATTACGTATTTTTAGTTATCCTTCTGGTCTTATTTTTGTCATGCTTCCTCCAGGAGCACCGAAGCTCTTTAACCAAAAGGACAATTTAGGTACTTGAAAACAATATTGTACATTTATATTTCAGATACTGTAGTACTACAATGTAGTGGTTTGGGGCAGGAACAATATAAGAAATTACTTCTCATTTTTTAATGACAATACAACAAACCAACCTGCTGCACTGGAATAAGGAAAAGTGATTTCTGTTCTGGGTAAATGCTGCGCTCTCCCTTTGGGTCTGCACAGAGCAAGTGAGCTTTGGCCTTTCCAGGTCTCCAGTGAAAATGAGTACGATTTATTAAGTATCATTCTCATAAGTAAAAGAATGCATTGGGAAGTTAGTCCAAACTTTTGAGAAAGAACTTGTTGTTTGGGTTTTTCAGAAGAGAATTTTACTTTTTTTGCTATGGAGTTCATTTTGGAAAAAAATTGTCACTCTCACACTTTTTTAGGCATTCCCCTTTTTCCATTTTATTTAGGAATGATCTTTTTTAACTATCTCTGACTCAGTGATGAAAATGCAAAGTTAAAGTATGTTCTGTGCTTCCTTTGTAACTGAGAAATTAGACTTTTGGTCAGATAGGGCATTCTATCTAAACATGTATTTATTCCTATCAACTATCCCTAGTCCCTCCTAGGGAAAGGAAAAAAAAAAAGACAAACCCATGAAAAGAATGGAGTTTATTTGTAATTCTTGGGAAAACCCTTTTGCCAAGTCACACACAGTGTTTGGTGCAGATGTGCAGAATGGTGCAGAATGCACTGTGGCTGGCATTGCTTTCCAGCAGCCTGTGTTGTGGTGAGTCCTTTAACATCCTGTTCCTGGGTGAGCAGGCTGTGAAACACAGCTGGTGCCACCACCAAAGACTCTGGAAAACCTTACACACAGAGAAAACAGAAACATCTTTCAGTGAGCACTTTGCATTACAAACCAAACATCTTCCCAAAACAAAATCTATCTTCTCTGATTAGACCAAAAGGTAAACAAAACATTCTAGTCATCTGGTGATGACCTTAGAGAAAATGTTGCTGTTAGAGCAGGCAAGATAGGAAGTTTTAGATTTATTTTTCTTTTAATGACTTTCAGAAAAATGGTACTTACAAGAATTTTGAGGGCTTCTGTCAATGTGCTCCTCAAAGTATCCTGGAAAAAATGCACAAAATTCTGTAAAAGCTCCCTCAGTTCCCAGAAAACTGCCCCCAAATCCATAAACTGGCTCAGCGTCAGAGTTCAGTGCGCTTTGCCTTCACATCTCAGTACAGAATTCTGCTTGTCAAGGTTCTTGCAGTCAAGGGCCCGTGGCTGATTCATGCATTAAAAATGCTCAAAGTAGCTGGAAGAATCTGAGGCTGTATGCATAAAATGTAAAGAGCTCATAACCCTGCTTGAGAAGTTGTTCATCACTTCATGGATTCTCTACCTGAGGAAAAGCAGATCAAGGACTTGGCAGCTTTAGGTGTCAAAAAGGCAGTTTCCATTCTAAGTGGAATGGAAGCATTATCTTAAAAGTATCTTAGAAGCACTTTCCCTCCCTTTGACCCATATAAAATCTGTGGAAACCTTATTAAAAGTCCAAGATATAGCAATATTTTTTCGAATGGCTAAGATAGTCAAATTCCATTCTGGTGACCATCTCCACTGTAAACACTGTGTGTAATCTTAAATTTGAAGAGGAAGTCTCCAAAGAAAACTTAATTAACGTGTTCTGTAAGTGCCTGCAGTTTTGCAAGTGCACTAGGATGGTCACTCAGGAGTGTGTCATGATGTGTCATGTGGATTGGTATGCTGCATCTGATCCTGGCTCTTGGGGGATCGCTTGGAGGATGATGGATGGAGCTCCAAAACAGCCTGTCAGAACAACTTGTCCAAGGAAGGCAGGGAAAGAGGAGTGGAAAGGTTCTTCATTGTCTCTTCTCAGCCACTGTTTGACATGCCATGAAATGTAAGCATAATTTCCTTCTCTAATAGAACCTTGAATGTTTTTGTAATCTGTCATTGATTACCAAAGTGTAATCCTGAGAGTTCTGTAGCTGACCCATTGAATCACACCGTTTTTATAGTGTTTTCAATTACAATTTTATTAAAGAATGAAAGATGTTCTGTGAGGACTATTGAGAGACATCCATTCCAAAATGAGTGGGAAGCTTGTCTTTGCAATGTTTTAAATTCCACTTGCAGCCCTAGTAAAGCCAAGGATTCCACCAGTTAATTATGTGCTGTTACACTTCAGTTTCATTAGAGGTCAGGTATAATACAGACTAAACACCAAGAGCCTGTTTTCTCTATATCTTTCATTGTTTGGCATGCCTCTGCTGAATACTCCTTTGGTCAACAATGCTCCTCTTCATGAAGCTCTCTGCTCATGAAGAGATCTTTTCAGACTTCCAGTCATTTCTCTGTGGCCCTGCCCCTCTTTGTGCCAGAGGCCCCATAAGTGTCTCTAAGAGAAGGGTTTGAAGGATATACCCCTCTCTAAGGTACCACTAGTGCAGCCTGCTACTATTGTATGAAATGTTCACAAGAGAGCAGAGGGATCTCTAAATCCAGATCTGCCCTAAGCCAGGGCAGCTTTCTGCTGCTGAAGAATCCACCTCTCACTAGGAGCTACCACTGTTATTCTCCCTTGCTCTTTAATTCTAAAAGCACGGTGATACGTGATATGTATTTCTCCTCCTCTGTCCTCAAGGACATACTAATGTGCTGCTGGGTTGGAAAATACTTTCTTTAAAAGTGCTCAAATGCTGGAAAGCTATTTTTTTAGGATAGCTGCAACCTGAGAACATCTTTTCTTAGGGAAAAGAACAGTTCAGAAACTTCTTAACCATTTAAATGCACTGTGAGGTTTGTAATTAAACTTTTTTTTAAGTTACAGTAAATATAATTATAAGAGCCATGTATTTCAAATAAATAATGTATAATTTTATTTTTTTCTTTATTGTCTGAAGAGTCAATTTTTGTGATAAATTTTCTTTTTTAAAAGAGCTGTGTCTTGCTTCCATGACTTGGGCATAGGCACTAGTCTTCATATTCTTCTTTTTTTTTAAGTTTACCGTATCCTGCTGTCCTTCTTGCCTGAGAAGTATCTTCAGGAAACCACAAGGATCACGGAATCAGGCAATCACAAAATCATCTTCAAGGAAGCTTTGCATTCTTGTTGCTGCTGAACTAGATATTGTTCATAGCAAGGCTAGATGTTGAGGACAGTTTCAGTTTAGTTCCAATTGGCATTTTCCTTTCAAATCTCATATTCCTGATATTAACTTGGCAATTCAGTGAGCATTTTTCACTGAATAGCCATGGTCAGGGGTAATTTGCATTGGTGACTAACTTTGAATGTAAAGAACACAGAGAGGGATGTTCTTACAGGCTCAGAACTCTGCACTCAAAGAGAGCTTTAATAGAAACAGCTTTTTTTTTTTAAAAAAATGTTTTTCCTCCTTTTAGCATTTGGCTGGATTTTCTGTCAGTTGCCTGGTGTATTGGTGGAGTTCTACATTTGGTCTCCCACTTTCCAAATCATCAAGAAAACTCTCTGCTCAAAGAGCAATTATGGGGCTGTGCATGTTCAGTCACCCGGTGGGTTTGAACAAAAGTCATCAGTTATGTCGCAGCGTGTGTTAGTTTTGTAAGTGTCGTGTGAAGGCTGACAGAGATCACATTTCTGTGTTTTGCTGCTCAGTCCAGCCCATAACCTCCAGAGGTAATGGATCTCTGCAGAACCTCTCTGGAGCAGGTCACCAAACAGTGCAGGATTTCAAGAGCTGATGCACTTTTATTGCTCCAATATCCTTGTCATGGAGGTGATGGGGTTTGGGCTGTGGTTTCAGGTATCAATGTGGTTTTACATCTAAGGCTGAGCCCTTTTGGTAAGATGCATGCTTTTTTTTTTTTTTTTAAAGAGCTTTTTCTTTTGTTCTTAGAGATGGATTGCTTCTAAGTAATAGACTTCTGAGTGTACAGATTCATAAATGCCATAATGGAAAGACTAAATGCCTGTACATGCAGAACAGCTGGATTCCAGCACTGGCAATGCTGTTACAGAGGACTCCAGGCCTGAGAAACTCCTGTGAGAAGCATGAGGAATTTATCAGAGCGTGGCTCAATCACAAATTACATGAGTTTGTTGAAGAGAGTGACACCTACATCCCTGGGCCAATCACAGACTGATCATGCTGCTGGCAAAGTTACATTTTCTCTGAAGGTATGTTGTGAGAACTGTGGTTGCTATGTTTTGCTCTTGGAACTTACAAGTGCTTGCTAAATGGACTGGGTCTCTGACCATTGAAGCCCCAGTATAGCATTATATAAAATAGAATAATCCAGCCAACTGGATGAAGTCCCCTAAAAAGTCTGTTTATTACTAAAAAAAAATAAAAATCACATAGTTATTCTCTCCCCTTTTTAAAAAATGAACATGATAGAAGCCTGGGATTTACAGGAAAGTTTTGAAGTCCTGGAATGTGTGTTTTATTACATGTGTGATCTACAGTTCTTTATGCATGCATTTCTCTATTCATTTCTAGTGCAGCAGAGGGCAAGTCTAACCCCACTCTTAGTTACAGCAGTTCAATTCCATCCTCACCAGTGATACTCAGGTTGATCCAGAGCTGCCCTCTGACAGCTGTGGGATTTACATTTACATGGGTGTTCTGGCATGATTTGGGAATAATACCAGGTTTCACAGAACTGTGAAAAATAATAATAATAGCACATAATAGCAGTGTGCTAAATAATCACAGTCTTCCATGGTTCCTTGGGCCCACTGAGGTCCAATCTTACCTTCCACTGCCAGAAGCCCTGGCCTTCCCACCTGGAGAATAATCCCTGCATTAAATCCAGCATTTCACCAATGACTTCTGATTTTGCAGGCTGTCTCTTTGCTGGTTTTTTGCATGGATTTCCAGATGCAGTAGCCCTGTTATCCTGACAGATTTTTATTGTCATGTCTGTGCTTTGTTTGTTGCAAAGTGAAAGCCTGAGCCCTCAAGGGCTGTGTGCTGGGTGTACAAGTCTCCAGTCTATTCAGCAGGAAGAAAATCAGGAAACATGCATAGATCTTTCACTGAGAATAAATATTATTGGTAGCACTGAAACACCTATGGTAACAGTTTAAACTAAAATATGACAAAATTTGAAGGGTCAGAATCTGGACCCAAATATTTGGAAATACTTGAAGGTTCTTTTCTTTTGAATTGTTTTTTTTTTAATAATTTTTTGTTGAAAATATTTTTTTTTCTGTGCATGTAGTAAGGTGAGGCCTATAAAAACTTGGTTCCCCATTTTTGTGTTAAATGTGCATGTTAAGGGGTTTTAGGGGCACTGAGTCTATTTTATGTGTTCTTTAGAAAATAAGACATGAAGACTTTTAAAAGCTGTTGTTTTTCTTGACTTCACCTTCATTAATCTTATTTAGTTTCTGTAAGAGGTTATTTTGTGAACTCCACTGATGGGTAATGTTTTCTTTTCCAAAGTTCATGATTCTTCTATTCAAATCACTAATTTTCACTGTTACACTCCAGTGGTTTAGTGCTTACCAGGCCTTCAGGAATGAGTTTAATTAGCAATGCTGAATAAATTCTGTGACATGATTCATCTTTCTTGTCACTTGGATCTAAGTAACAAAATTGCAGTTCAAAGATATACTTAAAAGCCCTGTGAGAATAGCTTCTGGGAAAAGACTCAGATGTAAATTTGGAAATGAGGATTTTACCTGGCTGCTTGTTTTCAATTTAGCTAAAAGATACAGGACTCAGTCATATGTCCTTGAATTCCCTGGTATATTGTTTTAAAAATGCTGAGCTGTACTTGGCACATAGATTCCAAATTAAAGCTCTGCATTTGGGCTTTTTTAGATTAAATTATTGACTTGACAAATTTCAATACTCTCCTAGATCTAATGTGGTTTAATTTTTATAGCGATTTAATTTTTAATGTGATTTAACTTGTCTCCATACTTGTATATTTTGAACTGAAAATACAGAAGGGAGAATCTCATTCTCCAGTGATCCTAAATGTTGCAGTGCAGAAGTCCAAATTTTGCCATGCCCTTTTCTCTGAAGCAAGAGAAGGTGTATTCCTGAGACAGTGTCACAAAGGGAAAATAGGGAATGCAGGAAAGGAAAGGAGTGAATTCAGGAAAGTGATGTTTAAATATAGACCCTTGTTCCAGCATGTCCCAGTAGGCAGTGCCAGCAGCACAGAGAGAGCAACAGGATTTTGCCATGCTCTATCTCCTTCTGTGCACCAGGGTCAGAGCATTTCACACCATCAATGGATGAGAACTTCTCAAAACACCTGTGGGAAGATTTAAATATAGTCTTCCAGAATTTATAAAATTACTCTTAAAAGAGTAATTATAAAATTATACTTTTAAAAGAATAACTTGCCCTAGGAGAGCTGTAAGCCAAATGAAGCTGAACTGCTTAAATCCCAGGTTTAATTCTGAGACTACTTCCTCTACTCCAGCACATGGAGCACTGTGAATAAAAAATATAGATTGTTTAGCACCTTTCATATGTAGGCACAAAGAATTTAAGGACAAATTGTGGCTCTAGCCAGTTCCCTGGATTTTGTCAGATTCAAACAGATCCTGAATGTTATTTTAATGTAACCTTAAAAGAGCCCCATGCTATTAATTTTGTATTTATTACAGTTGCACTGACCCTAATGAATTTTTTAAAATTAATTTGACAGATGTCACAAATATTTTCAGTGCAGTTTAACATCATTAAATATAAGCTTTCCTTGAAAAGAAGTTCTATGAAGTGAACGTACGGCGAGTGCCAGTACTGGATTCTGGAAAGTCATGGGTGTCCCATGGGACTTAGAACACAAAATGTTGGGGAGTAATGTTTATGGGGAAACTTTACAAGGTTCTCCCTCCCATGTCTCGTCAGTACATCTCACCTAGAAAGACAAGCGCCTCTAAAAGGGAATCTGTGTGTTAGTTTAGGTATTGTGTATAGCTGATTATGCCTTCAGAACCAAATTCAGTGACCTTAGGAATCTTTTTTCAGATTTTAATTTTTTTTCCTTTTCATTTCTGTTACTTTGCTCACATGTAAAAGTGAAGAGGGCGAAACAGAGGCTCTGTAAAGGAAGGGTTATTCCACTTCCTTGGAGACATGATCTTGTTTTATGTGAAGCCTGCACTTTTTTTTTTGCACCTGATGGACCTTGTTCTGCTTGGAAGAATGACAAAGAATAAATCATAGTTCCTTACCTTGTATGTGAACTTGTGGAGCAGTGAAAATACATAGCTATAATCCAGGCCATCAAAAATACAAAATGAATGATTTGAGTACTGGATTCTACTGGATTCCAATACTTTATAAACTTTAGAGCATTGGTAGTGTCCCCATCTGGAATATAAATAAAGGAAACCCTTCCAAAGGTTTATAGGACTGTATTTGGTGCTCTCTTAGCGCCCTAATTTATGATTGTTGGAAATTCACAAGCTGTGAAATGTGTTGGTCACAGAGCTGATGGCAATAACTTCAGAATATGAATGAGAGCATCTGGGTTGCTATTTACCTTTGTTTCACAAAGTCAGCTTTTTATCTTTGCATCATTTAACCCCAGAAATATGGCTGGGTTAGACAGGCATGTGCAGCCTTCTTCTGTGGAACAGAAGATTTGCTTTCTCTAACTTCAGTAGTTTCATCTGTGAAAAAATTTACCTTTTGCTGTACCACCTTTGGCTGTTCCTCTACAGGAATACAAAGCAAATAAAGGTAAATAAAAATAAGCAGTAGCTGTCCTTTGTAAAAGCAAAAAGGTGAGAAGACTCAGAAATTCTTCATTTTATGTTCACTTTATAAAGGCTTGGGTAAGGTGAAGGCCCAGGCAGCAAGCCTGCATGGCACTCAAATGTCATTTAAACACCACTTTGCAGAGTTTCATTAGTGCATATAAATTTTGCTTGGTTTTAGTTACAGGTTAATTTCTCTGTGCCTAACTTTCATGCCTTGGAGTTTCAGTTTCCATATTTGTCTAACAGTGGAGACATGCTAAAGCATTCTCAAATATTTGTCAATTGCCACCAGGTTCTCTTGGGCAGAAAATTATAATACTGAGTCTTGCTATTGTTCACCAGAAATGGGAATCTGCTGGTGATGGTTGCTGTCTGCTAAAACTTCTTTTGTGTTTGATGTCCAGAATTTTGAGACTAAATCAGGGATATCTTGGTGTAATTTAGTGGTCTGTACTATGTGGGAGTTGAAACCTGGTAATGACCCTGGCTGCTTCGAATCTATGCCCCACTATATGTTTTTTTACCACAAAAAGAGGAAACCTTAACTTCTGTGGCAATTGGTGACTCTGCTTCAAGGCACTGATACTTTGTGATATCCAAATCAGGATCATTCTTTTATTGTGTCATGACTGGATATAACATCCCAGCCTGCATTTGTTTGCAAAACTTCTTGATACTTTTCTGAATTGATGGGTTGGTATAAACAAAACTTAGAGGCTGTCACCATATCTTATTTTCTGGCCTTACATGACTTGTGTCAGCCCTGCTGAGATAATAGTAGATATTATTTGTGATCAATCCCCTTGCTTGACTTCACATGTATTTATGGACACAATTTTTGACTGCTTGACTTTTACTGCCTCCAGGCCTCTTGGTACAACACATACATATAAAGCACCATGTTAAGGACTGGCCAGCTCTAAAGAAATGGTCTGAGGACAAAAAAAGATAGAAATAATATTTCTTGAAAGAGTGAAGGAGTTTTGCATCCAGTGAGACGTGAAACTCTTTCACTTCCAGATAGGCCCTGTCTCATGGCCAGCACAGAAAACATCTTCCTCCTTCCTTTGTGAGCAGAAGGAGTTTTACAGACAGGAAACAGCAGCGAGCCAGGGCCTGAAAGCCTTAGATCAAAGCAGATATGTTCAGCTTTGGTGCCTTAACCTGGGTTTGGGTTCAGGCTGTTGGTCAGGCTGGAGAGAGGTCTTGGGCTAGTTCATGCCTAAGGACTCAGTAAGTGCAAATGGTGCCAGCAAACTGGGGGTTCTGGTGGGGTAATCAAGAGAGAGGACAACACAATTTGTGCTTTAGTGTTTGTGAGGTTAAAGATCAGGCTAAACATTGTCTGGTGCCTTGAAGAACTGCCTCTGAGCATGAATGCAGAGGTAACCCATCACCTGTGCTGTGCTGCAAGCTGCCCTTCTACTGGGCATGTCCAGCAGTGGCCACGGGGTGGCTTTTCACAGGTGACCACTACAGATCTCTGCTTTGTGGACAAAATTTTGGAATTAAGAGGAAGGAGGGAGCTGGTGCAGACTGGAGCTCCTCATTCTTTCACTTCAAGCATGCAAGTTAGTTATTCTGTGAGTGAACAAAAAAGAGTTCCAAAAAGAGAGCTCATTACTTGTTCATGTGTCTCTAATGCATTTTGAAGAGCTTATTTACAGAGGTGTCAATTCGACATTGATAATTTATCATACTAAAATGGAAAACTAGTCTTCCTCTCATGCATACTTTCTCTCTCTTGTTGAGGTTTATTTATTTTACACTCTTCTTTGGAGGTTTTGGGTCAAGCTACGTGCTGGAGCTACCTTTCTGCAGTTTAGATGTTGAAAAGCTCTTGGATAAATGATGTGAGAGGAACTATACAAATATTTTTAAGTGTCCTGAATGGCAGATGGTTTTGAAGAAGGTATGACATTAAAGATCCTAGGTAGTGCTGAGTTCAGGGTTTGTTTTCTCCAGGTAGAGTGTAGATATCATGTGATATGTCATTGTTTTATCAAGCTTGATGTGATGTGGAGATAGCTGAAATACCTCTGCAATGTGCTGCTGATAAGGATGTGTGTAGTATATATGTATATATATTTATGTTCAACCTTTATGAAAATATCAATTGACAATATTCTGTAGCTTTTTTTCTCCAGCTTGTAAATGGTTACAGAAGCCTATAATAAATATCTTATTATTTATATATTTTATTAAAATTGCTGAATTCCTCTTCTTCTACATGTTGAGACTTTAATTCTAGATAGGCTTTGCAGCTTATGTTCATGATCAGAGCATACCTTTTCCAATCAGGGTGCACTTCTTTTTTAGGGTTTCTGTTTTTGAGAACTTTAAAAATGAGTATTTTACTCAGCTGGTTGTTGGGTGATTCTAACTTAGTGTTTCATTACTGTGCTATGTTTTTTATTTCCTCTGCTGAATGCTAGAACTGCACTTGCAGAGAAATTCATCCAAGATTCTCTGTCATTTACTGTACGATTAATTTTCTAATAATCTTAGGTAATGCATTTCTAATTTGGATCCCTGTTCATTTGTTTTATCACTGAAAGGAAGAATACACAAGAGAGGCTCAGGTTCATGTCAGTATTTTCTTCTTCTAAGGTTTCCACAGCCCACTTGGTGGTCTCTGACCATCACTTATGGCTCAAGAGTCTTTCCAAAACCAGTGACCTTAGGCAGTTCCAAAAAAAATCTATTCTAGAGCCTGGAGTCCCACTGGGCCTCCACTGCTGGAGGAGTGGAGGATACCACGCTGAGTCCCAGCCCCTTTCCTTAGTGCAATATCTGTAAAAACAAATGCAGTCTAAGCAAAGATTAGATTAATTTTGATCCAATTGTCAACCTAATTTTGTCTGATTTGGCTGTGTCTGCTTGCAAGTGGAGAAACTTGGCTAATAGTCTTGCAACTGCTGTATTCTGGAAACTTCCTCTTTCTCTTTCCTTCTGGAAACTTTTTCTGGTTATATGATACCAAACAGGCAAGCAAAAATGATTAATTGTACACAACTACAGTGCCAGCTTTTCCTCCAAGCCTACTAAAAAAAACCCCTGATGTTGCCAGTCGTGAAGTCAATTTCATTTCTAAGAAAATACAATTTTTATTCATTAAATTCATGGTGACATTTATTTGGCAACGGGAAATTTGTGATCAGAATGTTCAAGTTTTAAATTCTTTCCCAGTCAGATGCAAAGTGCAGCTGTGGGTTTCTCACAGTGAGCACTGAGCAAACAGTAAGGTCCCAGTGAAAACAATAACCACGGTGTGGTGCAGTATATAGTGATATTTTGCATAGTAGTTTCTGTAAATATGGAAGGATTTTGTCTGCAGTTTATAGATAACTTTTGTTCAACAACAGCTGCAGCAGAACGGCTCAGATTATGCAACTGCCTTAGAAGAGCCTGGACTAGACTCACCCAGTTGTAATCAGGTTGAAAATTTGTTACCTGGGAGTTGAGAAATGAGCCTGAAAGAGGCAGGAAATTGCTTCAGAGGGGTAACTGAGATCCAAATAATCGGGCAGAGAGTTGCAGTGGGAGGGAGCTGAGCCTGGGAGAGGACTGGGGATTGATGCATTGGCAGGGATGGGAGCCCAGAGGTGCCACTGCAGCCAGCTGGGATTATCAGTCACATCAGGCAAGGGTGATTTGTCAGGATGCAGGGTGGGAGACACTGAAACCCAAGTCCAACTGCACCATTTCCAAGCTGTAAATCTGTGAGCACTCTTCAGAAAAAGATGTCTCTCTACTTACAATTAGATTTCTCCAAATAAGAAAATTGTGAGGTCTCATCAGCAGCCTTGTACTTTTGGAGACATCTGTGTTTAGTTTACTGCAGATTAAAAAAAAAAAGGGAACAAAGTAAAATGTTCCTCCCTGGGAATTTGTTTAGATTAAAAATGAGCAGGCTTTGTATGTAAGAGAAAGGTATGGTCTACCTAAGTTAGAGCTGTGAATTATTATGAATTCTTATGATGAATTATTATCAGAAAGGTTATTTTTATTTCTAGTGGTTGATGTATAAATGGCAAATCCTGTCTTGGAGAAAGTAGTTTATCATGGGCCATGAAGCCGGAATAGCAGTGCTACATTCAGAGTCATGGTTTTATCTTAAAGGGACTTCTTATGATTTTGCTTTATGCAGAAGCCAACAGGAATACTCAGAGATGTAAGAATAGCTCACAGAAATTAGAACACCACGTGTAAGCCATATTTTCATATGTGGTGATGGTGGCAATGACTTAAAACCACATTTAAAGATAAGTATTGGAGACTTCAGGTTGCAGAGGTGTACATTACACAAACTTCTTTTTGGATTCTATATTTTTTTTCACTTGTCACAGCTCCTGAGTTCACACTGTGGTGAACTGAATGTGTTTCTGAATTAGCCACAGTAGCATTTATTAGATTATGTGTAAGGATTTGGCCCATTCTTTTAGAAAGTTCCTCAAATACCTTGAGAAGTTGTGTTACACTTTTAAAATCCAGGAAGGAACTCATACATATGACTTCAGCATCTTTCAAAATCCCAGTTGTTTGCAGATAGATGGTCTTTATCTGTTCAGGATTTACCTGGGTTAGTTTCAAAGGATCAGCTTCTGTCTGTGTTATTCAAAGGACTGTATGATTAAGGTTTAAATTAGATTTTGGCAATGCAGTGTGTTTTGCACACCCCCAACCCACTCCCGGTGTATTTAGGCTAAGAATAAAGGGAGTAGATTCTCTTAAAACACATTTTGGAGTGTTTTCCTCAACACTTGCACAGCTCCAGACTGTAAACTGTTTAGACGACCCTTCAGAGTTTATTTGCAAACCATAGAGGGTACAGCAGAAACAGCCATCCATCCATGACCCCTGAGTTATTCATGCTCGTATTTACTAAACAATTCTACCTAAAGCAGAGAGATTAGGAGCTTAATTTGGAAAGATGTTTGTGCTGCAGCACACAACGTCCAGTACCCCCAGCAGAGGCACAGAAACAGGGCATGGCAGATAACAGCTGCCTTTGGTGTCCCCAGAAAACACAGGGACTACAAAAGAACCTGGTGCTATTTCTGTGGAAACAAAAGATGTACCCTGGAAGAAAATGCCTGTGAAATAACAATAACAAAAATAGCTTTAAATATGCTTAGGACATGTTGGGCCAGTTCCACAAAGAGTCAAGTAAACAGAACTTTAAAAACAAGCAGAGCTGTTTATCAGGGGAAAAGATTTTCAAAATGGCATAACTGCAGTCTGCCCTTGCTGTGATGATACACAATCCTTTCTCTTGCAATATCATACTCTTTGAGTTTGGAACATGATCAAACTGGTTTGAAAATGCATCTTAAATACCTGTTGCAATAAGTCATCATGGGCATGCCACCTGGTTGCTTTCAGTCTATCAATTGCAAACTTGCCATTAAAACAACTTTTATGTTAGAGGAAACTAACAGAGTGAGAACCTGTATCTTTCCACAGGTGTAGCTATGATCCTCTGTGAGTCCCAAGGGATCAGAGTATTCCTCCTGCCACAGTGAAAGTTCTGTACACACTGGGAAAATGAAAAGCAGCCACCCAGGTCACTGATACCTATTAACCATCAAGTGAATTTTCTGAACTTCTCTGTTTTCTTCAGAGCAGGAGGCACTAAAGCAGTTTTGCCCAGATCTTGCATGCAAACACTTCTGCTAAGCTTGAAGATGAAACTGTTTAACAAACAAGGTAAGTATAGAACAAGTAAAACAATAAACAATTGTAATACCAGAAGAGAATTCATATAAAAGAATTATACAAATGATTTATCACTTACAGCTTACTTTGACTTGTATCCAAGTGAGTATACCATTCCCATCTGAATCTTTCTGTTTAGTTTTGTTTCAAATTCCCTTTTTCAAGCCCTGATTAGTGTCTTTGAGATGGTCAGTTTGCTAATATTTTATCATGGGAGCTAAAAAAATCTGATCCCTTCCTGTGATGAGAAGATTGTACAATTTTTTTTAAAAAAACAACTTTTTGCACACAGCTTTTATATATTTTCTATTCAATGGACAGTGTGATTGAATCCCTGAACTAGCACTTTGGTTTCTTATTGGTTGGACTGGAAATGTTTCATGTGATGCTTACTCAGATCAGCTTTATCTCTGTGTTGATCAATAGTTTATCTCTTAAAACTGAAATACTGGGCTGTTAACTGTAATCCTGTTTCTTAGCTTTGATAACTCTTATGCTGGAGAGTCTCTCACACACTGCAAAGATTATTTGCAAGATTAAGTTGACCCTGTACACCTTGACTTAGAAAGTTTTCTATTCTCTTGTAGAAATACTGAGGAGGTAGTAAAAGAACCTGTGTTCTAACGTATGTTTGTTGAATAATTGTTGTTAGGAGACAAAATTACAGTCAAGGAGGAACATGCTGCTTTTAATTTTTTTTTTTTTTATTTAAGCCTTTAACAAATGAGTATATATGCTTTGCATTTCAAAGGTTTTTAAAGTAACATGTTGTTAAAATATACAACTTTGAAAACATTATCAAATTCAAAATCTCTTCAGCTCGGTTCACATACTTTTTTTTTCCACCTCTCTTTCTGTGTTACCAATATGAAAGAGTATTTGGTGGCAAACAAGGAATCCAAATTCTGGCATAATCCCAAAGGGAATTCTAGCAGAGATCACTGATAGAAATTAAAGCTCTGATGCTATGGCTGGATGCTCAGCACTTCCAAAGAGCTGTACAAAGCAGATACAAAGAAATCAGCATAAAGAGCATGTTTTTATAATTCCCACATTTCTAAGAACAATGAAATTAACAATCAAAAAAACCCCAAAACCCAACAGTAAAAAATCCCACACATGTTTTGTTGTTCTCTTCTGAATTTAGGAAAATGGTCAGCCCCAGCTAACCAGTTCTAGATGAACCTGCTTGAGCAGGAGGCTGGACCAGATGGCCTCCAGATGTCCCTTCCAACTTCAACCACAGAATCCTGGGATTCTGTGAAAACCAGAATATTACTGGGATGTGAGTTGAAATTTTCTGTATATACAAACAGTCACTCAGTAAAATTTGTTCATTTTTTTACAGCTGTTGTAATTCACTTTCCCAATAAACCTGCAATATCATTTTATATTTGAACACAGAGTGGAAACTTACCCAAAACAAAGCTGTTAGTTCAGCCTTCCAAAATAAAGAGGTGGGTTTGTTTGTATTTAAAAATCTGTTTATAAATGGCCATAAAACATAAAAAAGTCATTGGCCCAGGGTGTTCTGATGCTGTGTCTGTGCCTCTCCAGTGATGAGCTGTAGACCAAACACTTGAGTCCTGAGCACTTTGAGTTTTTAGTAAATACTGATCAAAAAACAATGGGGGAAAACAGCAGAAAAAGACTAATCCATTTATTTTCAGGAAATTGTCTGACCTTGGTTTTGCTAATTACTAGTTCCAGAAGAAAAACATTTTATTCTTTGATTCTAGTCCTTCACTTTGAAGATTATTGTTATTAGCACATATCAGTCTTTGTTCACTTGTTGATACACACGTAAGGTAAAGTTCTTGTTCCTCTAGTATTTCCAAATCCAAATTGTCTAACCTTCCACATTCTCATTAAAAGACTTTGCCTGATTTTTTTCCATGGAAATTCCAACTTAGGCTGGATGGCTCTTCTAAGGCAGGGGTTTCTTTTGATTTTGGCATGCAAAATTTAACAAACACATCATAATTTAGTTAAGTGTTTTTAGAGAGATTCAAGATTTTAAAAGGATGTGCTTAAATTCCTGAGCTGCTGATATCACTGCTGATACTATGTGGAGCTGCTTGAGCTTTGGGGAAGGCCTTTGAATTCAGAGACTGAGTAAGAGACCAGAATTTAGCTTTTTGACAGGGGAAAGGAGTGCTTAAAACAAACCTACAATGGGATGGCAGCATGAGCAATATAATAAGCACAGCTTCTTACAGCAGCATGTGCAAAAGCTGTAAATTTGCCCATGGAGGCAAAGGCTGTGAATTCAAATACCTCTCTGAATTCACAGGAGCAGGGGAGGGATCCAGGTGGTCATGAACCTGTCTCTGTTTCTCCTTGCCACCTCAGAGTCTCCCAGAGCACTTTGGGACAAACTCTCCCTTTGTCTCATTTTCATTTGTTGGGGGAATAAAGGTAAAATGATGTTTAAGTCTCAGTCTCAGGTGGCTGATGTGTTCCTTTCCTTTTCCTTGTTTGAGAGGGATTTTTTTTTACTTAAGGGAGGCATTTGCCCTTCTCCTAAAATTCCAAATGGTTTTCAGGCATGAAGGTGGGGAAAAAAGTTGTCCCTACTGCAACCCTACTGAAGGGTTTTCTCCCTTGAGCATCCCAAAGGCAGGAGACAAATACAGCAATTCTTTCTGCAAAGTACAAATGCAGAGCATGATCTTGGCTTCATCAATCAGGAGACTACAAGGAACAGCATGAGGCTTACACAAACAATCACACACTTCCACACATGCCCTGCGCTTACCTCCTCACACCTAAAATTTGCTGCAAAACTTTCAGTTCGGTGCCCTGCTTGTTTTTTTAACACTTCTGAGAACATTTCTGTTCAGCTTGTAGGACTTCTGTAAAGGTCTTTCAGTTTTGTGAACAGCAAGTGCTTAAATTAATTGGAAATTAAATGAAAAAGGGTTTTTTTACAGTGAGGTATTCTTGCTCTGCTATTGCTCAACAAAGTGAAATGAGGACTCAGCCTCTGCAGTGATATATAGTATTTACTTAGTGTCAGATATAGGTGTGGCTAGCAAGGAAAATTGTTGCAACATATTTTTTCTTTCACAAAGTGCAATTAAGAGTGATATTACTTGGAATTAATTGAGATTGAGATTTCTTTGAAGCTGCTCATCATTAGCTTATATTTTCCCTGCAGTGGCTTCTTTTCCCTTGACAAGTACAGCTGAGTTTTTGTGCAGTCTATGGCAGTATAAAGTGATTGGAAAATCCCTGCAGCTGGTAGAGAGGGAAGCAGACACTCCCTAAAATCTCCCTTCTGAGTTTTTATTAATGGTCATGCTCAATAAATGATCTCATCACATAGTGCATATTGTGAGAGGGTTTACTGGGAAGAAGAGGTGCTCTTGGTGGCCTGTAGCTGATTTTGAGGGGATGGAACTGAGTTAAGCCTTTATGATTCCTAAAACTTCTTGCCCTAGGCTAGGAGTCAGGCCTTTTCCACACCAGTGTTGGCTTCTCCCAGGTCAGCTCCTGGTGTCTGGGATACCTGAGTGGGAACTGCAGGGTGAGATCCAGTTGTAGATAAAACAATATTATTATTTATGTTGTTAATGAGCTGCCTTATGCTATCTCATGGTAAATACGATTAAGAAACCACGGCACAGAGCGGCTGTAGCCTGTTCCCTGTCATTTTGGGTTTCAAAACACTTGTTTTGTGTCTTTGGCAAAAAATGGGGGAGTGGTAGTGGCATTGAATGAGAGGGTGAACTTAGCCTGAAGTATCGTTTCCTTTTGCCAAGAGCAAAGAAATTATAAAAACAAATTCTTGGCTGAAAACTTAAAAGGATAGGTTTGGAATGTTATCTTAAAGGACGTTACAATCCTGGAGCTTCCAGTCATACCCCAGATAAAGCACTTTGTTTATACATTATCCCATTTCACATACAATGCCTCTATGGGAGATGGGCTCTAAGGATTCATCCTGGGTTTGAAGGACAAAGAGTTTAATTTAATTAGAGGGTTTCTTCTTCCTGTAATCTGCTGGTTTTATACATCACACGTGACATCTACATTTTTTGCAGCAAGTGCTGGTTAAACTGTTCAAACAAATTTCATACAACGGTTCTAGGATTTACTCCCTTTCAGAAAGCCAAGAGAAACTTTAGAAATACACAGTATTTACATCAGTGTGATCTGGTAAAGAATCCAGGAGAGAGATTTTAATAACACCTTCACCATCCACTTTGGACTTTAATTTGAGCTTTTGTATTTGTGTTTTGTTTTAAAGAAAACGAGACTTTTGGAGCTGTGAGAATTATATTGGTATTGCCATTTCTATACTGATAAATTACCTGAAATTTGACATTTCCAGCAATATGGATACCTTCATGACTGAGAGAAATTACAGCTTGAATAATGCTCAGCACAACCAGTAGCTCCTGAAAAAACCTCACTGCCTTACAACAAGCGTTCACACCCCTCTTTGTTATTGAAAACAAACCACAAAGAGCTAAATTTTGGGTTTGTGGGCTTTGATAATAAAAGAAGGTATAGTTGTGGCTTCCACTGGAGCTGACAGAAAAACTCCAGTTGTCTACACTAGCAGCAGGATTTCTCTGCACAGCAAAGCGTGGGAGAGTTGCAGATCTGTAAATGTTTTTGAAATTCAGTGCTAACTTTGGTTCTCCTAAGTGCTAAGGAAAAAAATTAGTTTTCTCCCTTAAATGTGTGGCATTTTCCCTTCTTTTAGTTCTGCTTGGTAACTTGTGCCTAACTTAAGGGCCTAGAGAACAGAAGGTGTGGTCTTCTAAAATAAACTTGTATTGTTTTTTGTGGGATCCACTTGATGCTTCACACTTTTGCTTTAGCAGTAAAAGTGACTTGTGCTGACAGCTGCTGTAATTGCTGTGCACAGAATAAAACTGTCTTTGTTTTCTTGCTCCACTTCTAAAATGTAAGCCTATTCTTGCAGATCTAAGCTGAAATACGTAGATAAATTTTTGCTCTATGCCATAAAAATGGTTT